TGTTTGCAGCTGGTCACACCCCCTTCAGGGTGGGGGTCCCCACTGGGGTGCCTGGCCAGTCTGGGTGAGGGGCTGAGGGCCGTTTTCAAGCTGGCCGGTGACTGAAACTCCCAACCTCTCCTTTTATTCTTTTTTTTTTTTATTCTGGGATTTATTTACCTTCTATGGCTGTCACTGGAGCTGAGAGCCGGCTTTAGCTCTGAGGCTCGGCTCCAGCTCTGAGAATTCGGCTGCTGAAAGCAGGTTTCTGGGCTTTGTTTACCTTCTGTATTTGAAACTTTGTTGCTATTCCAGCTCTGAGATCCCGGCCGGCTGAAAGGAGGTTTCTGGGGATTGTTTAGGTTCTATAATTGTAACATAGTTGCTTAGAGTGCAAGCTCAGAGGTCGGCAGGGGCAGGCAGGGAACCATGGCTTCCTCCTTCACTGGAGCAAGCAAGCCTCCAGCTCGCTTCAGCTGCCTGGCTGCCGGCCGCCATCTTGGTTGGAAGTTAATTTGCATATCACCCTGATTAGCCAATGGGAAGGGTAGCGAAGTTACGGTTAATTACCATGTTTCTCTATTATTAGATAGGCCTAGTAGCCCGGTGCATGAAATTTGTGCACATTAAAAGGGAATTAATTGCCCTAACCGGTTTGGCTCAGTGAATAGAGCATCGGCCTGCGGTCTCAGGGTCCTGGGTTCGATTCTAGTCAAGGGCATGTACCTTGGTTGCGGGCACATCCCCAGTGGGGAGTGTGCAGGAGACAGCTGATCGATGTTTCTCTCTCATTGATGTTTCTAACTCTCTATCACTCTCCCTTCCTCTCTGTAAAAAATCAATAAAAAATATTTTTTTTAAAAAGGGAATTAATTAGCAGAGATATTTTAACATTGCTGTTTGCCCTTTCTCTATAATAGAAATGTGAGAGATGAAAGGAAATTAGTAAAATGTATATGAAAATAATATATAAATTTATTAATAAATAGTAACAAAAGGATATAACAATAACAGAGGCATGATATAAAAACGACAAAAACATGATATGAAAACAACAAAAACATGATATAAAAACAACAGTGATGCAAAC